GAGAGAGAAATTTGCTACCTCAAATTTTCCACAATGACATATGTGTCATCATCAGCTTTCATGAACCAGTCATAATCATTAATATACAAATCATGAACATATTTGAATGCTGCTTTTGTTTTGGCCCAGAGATGGTCACGACCTTCCGAGATATTCAGATTCACGGATGGCAGTGATGGATCTGCTTCTGATGACATAAAGATATATCTGAAACGACGATGCTTATATAAATCAAAATCGGACACACAAAAAAAAAGCCCTGCGCAATATTCTTCAAACCTGACTTACTTCGAACAGCGCCGACTCCACGTTGCTTTCACGTGTTTCGCTCGCTTTTCATGATTCTGCTTTCCGGTTAATATCCAACACAGTACCCGCACTTTTGCTTCCAGTAATTTAGCAACACTGTCGTCATCTAAACATTAATTACGCAACAGTTTCGTTACAAAAAAAAAACACGAAAAGTCATTTACGCAGTGTACGCTTGGATGCGTTTTAACGGGCCGAAAGCACTGGCGGATCCAGGTGAGGGATCTTTCGTCCCACCTTCCCTCCACCTCTCCCTCTCTGCCAGAGGCTCAGCTAGCGGTTGTTTTACTGTAGATAATTCTCTTTGATAAATCGCCTTCTCTCCCCCGTCCTCCCTCTCTCCCAAGGAGGCCGCCCTGGGTCCGCCTATGACCAAAACATCCCTCTTTAGGTACTTCCCTTCTGTCACTGACCATATTGTAATTAGAATTTTTATAAATTGTGTCTTCCAAAGCTGCGTTCGACGTGTGAAAGCATCCTAGTAACATCACTAATAGAGGGATACCCAAACTGACAACCCGAGCAGTCTTCGCATGTCTTCAATCTTCCCAACGCCAACAACGCAAATTTAGCAAAAGTATTGCTTGAACGATGTTGGAAGTTCAGCAAAAACACCTACTTTGGAAGAAGATATCCCTCCTTCCTTATCCCACCATTCCTTTTCCAAAAAATAGATGTATTTGTGCTACCTCTTCAGGGACCGCCCGAGCGGACATTTATTTTCCTTCGGATACTGTTCACTAACTCATCAGTCAACATATACATAGCTTCAAAATGACCAAAATCAACTGTAAATTAATTACCGCCATGTGGATTCGTAGCATTGCCATGAAAATGCATTGGCACATTCGGCGCATCACTGTCATCGACTTCGGATTCGTGATGAGCATCGTGATGATGGTGGTGATGATGATTCTCGTAGTACTGGTAGGCAGATGGCTGCGTAATCAAACCATAACCACCTGATGTGTGAGAAATTTTGCACAGCAAAAACTAACATACTTTGGATAAAAACGTCAGTTTCCTCATCGGATAAGTTAACACGATTTTGCGGTAAAACGTTTATTTTTTGATTCGGACTATTTGAAATTGTCAGGAATACCAACAAACTGACCACCAGAAGATGCAGCAACGGTCACAACAACCATGGAAAAATTGTTAAGTTCAAAACTGTGTAAAGCTGCGTCTTGTCAAAAATTGATACTAACTGAAGTACCAGAATACTGGGCGTACAGTAATATCGGCAACCAAAAGATCATTGTGTTCAAAACATACACTTAAAATCCAGCGATATCTGTGATAATGGATATTTTTACCTGATAATGATACGAATGATAATGAAAATCCAACAACGATACCAATCAATATATAAACAGCTGATGGCAGAAATCGTGCACTGATTAGCATTCGACTGAGCCAAGCTCCACAGCTTATACAAATCCTTCTCCCGAACCATCCTGCGGATGTTCTGTTCATGACTAGTCCTGCATCTGAAATTCAGTCAGTTAGGTTTGGCAAATAACATCAAAACTTTAGCAGTATGACGATCCGATCGGTATGATGGAAATCAAAAAATGCTTTAATCTACGTGCTGCTCAAAATTCTCCTTGAAAAAGCGTTTTTTCAGGTACTAAGAAGTTGCCAAAAATGCAGCTCCATAAGTTTCATAGGTCTTAAGATCGAAATATACCGGTACACACACATACACACACACACACACACACATACATACATATACATACACTTGCTAATTTTCATCGTACAAGCAACCCATCTATAGTATGTAAATATTTACACACGTACCCATTCACAATATGCGTTTTTACTTTGCATAGTGTAAAACCACACAAAAAGAGGGGAAATTGCGGCAAAAAACTGCATATATATAAGACAGCTTAAATGGATTGAAACGTCTTAAAGCTAGCCAAATTACTGATTTTCCATATATACTACAGGTTTCAGTTCATAATACATAAAATATACCGCAATATTACTTGAATTTTACTCGTGGATTAGCCTAATAAATAAATTAGCATTTAATATCACAAAATACTATTAAAACTATCCAGATATTTTAGCACGATTTCAGAACAGCACCCACTGTCAACATCACATATTCGTGCCCACTTTTTCGAAATTTACCCGAGCGATCATTTCATACGCGGTATCCAGAAGTTTAACACGTGGTATCCGGGAAATACAGTGTAAATTTCATGCGATTATCTACTCTGATTTGCAAAATTCCATATGCATATCAGCTGAGATGATCAGTTTATCGAGATGGCTGCGAAATGTACCAGAACAAACGAAACAGACAGTGTTTTCTCTTTCTACACCGCTTCTTTCTTCCCAAAAACTTTTTAAACATGCACATATATTTTTTTTAAAACAAACATACTTTTTAGCATTTTTTAATTTACGTATTTGTAACTCTTTTTATGTAAAATCTTTATTTAAACTTTTTATTTATACTTTTTGCTTATTTTTAAATATTAACACATTCAAAACTTTTAAAACACTTTTTAAAAATACATATTTAAAATAAATATGCATATATATTTTAAAACATACATATAAGCAGAATATTTTACGAGGATAAAAACCCGGCAAAATCTGACAAGTATCAAAAGTGAGAAAAATGAACAACAGATCTGACACAGCTGTGCTCCGCACAGTACATCGTAAGTAATATCGACGGCCTCATACACTAATAGTTTGAGCAGTCTTGCGAAATGTATGACAAACTTGCGCCGTAGAGGCATACAACATCGGCATTTTAGAAAAAAAAGCAACAAACCCACTAATTATCATGAAAAAAGCAACCAAACTGCATGACTTTTACTTTATTATGCGTTTTGTGCTGTGTAACAGCAGCACAAAACGCATATTTTTACGGGGTTGCCTATGTGTGTGTTTGTGTGTGTGTGTGTGTGTGTCCGCAACAACTTGTCCGCAACTTTCAACTCGGGAA